CGGGGACCCCTGCGGGCGCCAGCGCAGCCCCAGGCACCTCCACAGCCAGGCCTGCCTCCCGGGCCGCGTGCGGGTTCAGGTGCAGCTGGCCGTCCACGTACAGGAAGGTGAACTTGGCTCTCCGCTCCTCGACCGGCATGGCGGCGGCGGCGGTGGCTTGCAGGAGGCCCGTCTCCCACTGTGCCCTCAATTTCCCTGAAACGGGTTTCAGCAGCTGAAAAGAAAAACACAAGACACTCTAAGTTTCACTATAAAAACATAAAAATCGCCCACTTTAAAGGATACTTTCACAATTTCAGATAAATTTAGAAATAAAAATTATAAAAACCAATGAACTTGAAGGGTTTACAGAGTTCGGCTCCATAGAACAACTGCTTCTTTATGCTAGAAATGAGTTTTAGTCACATTTCACTAATGTGAACACACAGATGCACACGTTATATATGATGTTACGTATTTACAGATCCATAAAGGAAAATACAAATTACAGAAGAAATGATCTCTGGGAGCCACCAAACAAGTAAAAGAAACGTGTGATGCTTGGAAAGGGCACTCTCGGGCGACAGTGAGCAGCGACAGACACAGGAGCCGTCACACCCTCTCAAGCCACTGCACGGGCAACACCAGACCCAGGCGAAGCCGGGCACCCTGGGGGCACCGTCACCTTGACTTTCTCCGCCTTCGTGGGCGCCTGCCTGGCACTCTCCTGGCACAGCTCCTCAAACTGCCCTTCTCCTTCGAAAGCCGCCAGGCTCTTCTCAAATATCCACGCCCTCTCGGGGGCGTCGCCGAAGAACTGGACGTGATACTGGCGCGCGCTCTTCCTCTGACCTGGGTTTTAAAGGACAGGTTGGAGCCGAGGGCCGACAGTGGGACGTTAGGAAACCAGCCTGTTCCTGGCCCTGGCCCAGAGCTGGCGCTGCCGGCAGGGCCCCTCACCCCCACTCCGCCAGGGCGGGACCCCGGGCAGGGTCCGAGGGGCCTGGTGAGAGAGCTGACCACATCACCTTCACCTCCTCCCTTCTCAGATCCACTTTAAAAGACAGCAGACGAGCAAAACGAGAGCACATCCCAAAGGTCCCTCGACAGAGGGGACCAGACGCCGGGAAGGGGAGCGGCTTGTGTCGGCGGCCTGGGTGCGAGGCCCAGCCCCACCACCTCCTACCACCTGGCAGCCCTGCCAGCCACTCGGTCCAGAGCTCCGAGTGGGGAAAGGGCAGCCAGGAGGCCAGAGGGACCCCACGATATCCCAGGGGCGGCTCCCGGCAGAGAGGAATGAGCCACACCCGACAGCGCAGCCAGAGGGACCTGGGTGAGGAAGAGGCACCTGGTCCCAGAACCCGGGAGAGGGGATGCCAGGCCTGTGCCCTGACTGGGAAGTAAACTGTGACCTCCTGGCTCAGCATGGACCCTCAGCCCAGCCCCGTGGACATGTGTATGCGCGTGCTTTCACTTTAAATCGGCTCAGACTCAGAACAGGCCAGTGACGTGCGTCTTCCTCGTCACACTGTTTTGTTTGGTCAATCCTCACCCAGGGTATTTTTCCACTGATGAGACACATCGACTGGTTACCCCCACGTGCACCCTCTCAGGGCCAGGGATTGAGCCGGCAACTGAGGTGCCAGGAGGCTTCAGTCCTCGGGCCGGTGCTCTACCCACTGGGCCAAACCGGCGAGGGCACACTTTGTTTTTGTAAATACTCACCGAGGATATGTTTTCATTGATTTGAGAGAAGATCGACGTGAGAAACATCCATCAGTTGTCTCCCCACGCACCCTGACCGGGGATTGAACCCTCACCTTTTGGGGTACGGACGCCGCCCTACCAACCGAGCCACCTGGCCAGGCTCCTCCCTGACCCTGCAGTATTTGGAAGAGCTGCCCTTGGCCGTGACGATGAGCACAGGGGCATGTCGGCACCGGCACAACGAAGAAACGCTGCTGCAATGTGTGCGAGGAAGTTGTGTGAACTGACACCGTCTTTAATCAACAGCTCCCGACACAGACTCCACTCCCCACGCCGGGCAGGAAAGCGGAGAGACGCCGTATAAATGTAACATTTTTAAGTCCTTGTCTGCCTAGAAATTTGGTAACGATGTCACCCAGTTACCTCCTATTTAAATGGGTCTTTCACCCACATGAAACCTGCTTGAGCCCAAGCTGAGAGGTCAAGTCTGGTCTCATCTCACCAATGACTCACCAGGTGTCCTGCCACTGACCATGAGGCACCTTCCTTTCTGGGCCAGTTTCTGAAAGTCACCAACCACGGCTGTTGGTCAACACCTGTCACTGCCTCCCCACCCCACACCTGCGAAGAGAGCCGGGCCCCCCTGGGCCCAGGTGCCTACTGGCACTTGGTCCCTTTCCTTCCTCACGGCCCCTGACCCCTGGGCTGGCCTGAGCCCATCTTCCTCCAGCACCGGGGCCTCCAAATTGACAGCAGCCATTCACGTGCACAAGCCGCCTGGAGCGGAAGGGCGGGGAAGGAGGGAAGCCCCCGCAGGCTGACAGCCAGACGCCCGCAGAAGCAAGGCCCGCGCCCAGGACGGGCGGCCAGACGCCCATAGAGAACCCGGGTCTCCCAGCCGGCTCCGAGGGCACAGCCCCAGGCAGGTCAGGCAGAAACTGACCCCAATGCGGGTAGAGAAGCACCCACTGTCAGTGACAGCGCCTCACACCTCAGCAGCTGGGAGCAGGCAAAGACAAAGCCAGTAAGGAAAGCTCGTACCAAACAGCCCGAGACTGCCGAGCTCGGGAGTCCGACAGCGAAGGCCTCACTCCACAAAGCAGAAAAGGCGGTGACAGACTCTCCCCACAGGAAACACCGATTCCAGATGCTTTCTAAGAGAAGACGGTGAGGGCGCGGCAGAACCCTCGGCCGCAGCGCACGGCCTAGAGCACGCTGGGCTGCTCTTTCCAACGCAGAAGCGCGGTCCCTCGGACGCCCGCCCGGGAGGCCGCAGCCAGGACAGGGCCGCCGCTCCACGGCACAGAACGCTAGGCTTCGCCTGCCTGATCCCCAAAGGAAATGCACTGATCACCAGGAAAATGCAAATCAAAACCATGGGGAGCAGCCCTGGCTGGTGTGGCTCAGTGGAGAGAGCGCTGCCCTGCGGACTGACGGGTCCGAGTTCGATTCCGGTCAGAGGCTCATACCTCGGCTGCAGGCTCCTCGCCAGCCAGGACCCTGGTTGAGGGTCATGCAGGAGGCAACCAATCAATGTGTTTCTCTGACATCGATATTTCTGTCTGTCTTTCCTCTCTCTAAAATCAATGGAAAAATATCCTCAGGTGAGCATTAAAAAAAATAAGTATGTGATTCCAGAATGAAAGAAATTATTAAAAATAAAAGCCATAGGAAGAGGAGCAGAGGCTGGTGCCCGGGACTGGGGCAGGAGGGGGCGGGGCGGGAGGATTTCCTGAGACAGTGGTGCCAGCTGCACAGCACGAATGGGCCTCATGTCGCCCGCTGTGCACAGGACAGCGGTTAAGATGGCACATGTCGCCCGCTGTGCACAGGGCAGCGGTTAAGATGGCCTCACGTCGCCCGCTGTGCACAGGGCAGCGGTTAAGATGGCACATGTCGCCCGCTGAGCACAGGGCAACGGTTAAGATGGCACACGTTGCCCGCTGAGCACAGGGCAACGGTTAAGATGGCACACGTTGCCCCGCTGTGCACAGGGCAGCGGTTAAGATGGCACATGTCGCCCGCTGTGCACAGGGCAGCACGAATGGGCCTCACAGTCGCCCGCTGTGCACAGGGCAGCGGTTAAGATGGCACATGTCGCCCGCTGTGCACAGGGCAGCGGTTAAGATGGCACATGTCGCCCGCTGTGCACAGGGCAGCGGTTAAGATGGCACATGTCGCCCGCTGTGCACAGGGCAGCGGTTAGGCCTCACATCGCCCGCTGTGCACAGGGCAGCGGTTAAGATGGCACATGTCGCCCGCTGTGCACAGGGCAGCGGTTAAGATGGCACACGTCGCGCACGTGCACCTGAGCACAGGAAGCAGCAGCAGGACAGCAGGGC